CAAAGTATTGAATGTGTCGAACAAGCAAAGTGATCCTGTGTGGGTGTCTCTGGATTCAAGCCAATGGCTGATCCAAAGTCCATCCTCATAGTCTTCTTCTACAAGATCATTAAAGACACTTGTGTCCAAACTATATTGACAATGACTTATTTGATTTGTTTTGAATTATTTATTGTTTTATTTGTGGTTCAATTCAGCCAAACTTTGTAACAAAACATTTCTAAGGGCTGTATTACATTTACTATTTGGGAGGACTTCTGAAGGAATTTATTTAAAGTAATCAGAGAGGTTTGTAGTTGTGGTATAGCAGCATACAGTAGCAGTAGTTGTAGGATAGTAGTAAAATTAATGGTGAAAAGGTTTAAGGTATTAGTGTGGTGTTTGAATAAGATGTCTTCAGGGTTCAACTTTCAGTTGAAACAAATGCCTGTTCCTCAGTTATTTCTGTCAGTTAAAATTGTGGGTATTTTGACATTGTAGATGATACAAAGTAAACTTTGTATATCCAATCTGAAAAGAAGAAGTTACAAAGTGCTTCACATAAAAATACATCTGAGAAACCAGCTTTGGATTTAAAGTATTTAGCTGTTTGCAAGTGTCAACATTTACCCTTGAGGCCCAGGGCTGATTACGGCTGCATTTTCATCTAAGGAACAAAATAAAAGCTTTGATTTTTGTTTTTAAGACTTTGCAAAGCATCATCCAGCTACATACACCCACTTAAAATATGCTTCTGGGAAAAGTGTGGTCGTTTGATGGCGCATGATTACTGATCAGCTCAATTAGAAGTAATCATTTGATGTTTTGCTAAAATCCTGCATCATTAAAGGACCTTTAGAAATTATCTTGATGCTCTCAGGCGATTAAAAAAGATTGAGGGAACAATGAGAAAAAGGAGTTTCGCTTCTTTCACAGACATGCATGTAGTAAATGTAAACAGAATTGTACTGTGACTTCCTGACAAACAGTACATAACTACCTGCCTTGTTTAACGCAGCTCGCCAGCTAACTCCAATCCATTAATGAACTCATCCATCCACCAATCAATCTGCATTTATAAGCAACTCCGTCCAAATGCCATACCACCCATCCGATCACTAAATCAACTCTTTGTGCTTTCATTTGAAGAGACCCATGAGCGCCAAAAACTTATTTTGGACAAAATGTAAAATAACAAAAGACTTTTTTTTTCCAAGCAAAGATGTTTGATTAAAATTTTTTATTTAAAACTAACTTGGCCAATGTGTGAATTTCAATAATATTTAATGCATCACAGTTGTCACAGTTACCTACAGCCTACATATACATACAGAGTATTTAATTTAGAAAAACATGAATCCTCTATTTCTTATCTACAGTAAGGAGGAAAAAATATAGGATCATAAATGCTCCATCAAAAATTAATCCACTGAACTCAGTTTGACATTTGACTCCCAATAGGAGTCAAAAGTGGCGGAGGGACATGGTGAGTGGGGAGTGGTAGCCTAGATGATAGGGAATTGCGCTTAGCTCCTATAGGCTCTCAGTTCAGGCCCCACTCCCACAGACTACCACTCTGGGTCCCTGAGTAAGAACCTTAACCCCACACTGCTCTCCGTTGGGCGCACAATGGCAGCCCACTGCTCCTGTCAAATGCAGAGGTGAATTTCTCCAGTGTGAAATTGATAAAGTTCAATTCTTTATCAATAGACTTATAATGTTCATAATTATATCCTCTCATTATTATTGTTAGTATCAATATAATACGATGGTTTAAAACATTTTAAAAAGGTTAAAAAAAAAAAAAAAAAAGTTGCACAACATCATCAGGGCAAAGCTGGTGGCAAACCGCCCATGTCCAATTTTTATTACACTTATTGAGGAAATTGGGACTGACTAAACACAATTCTGTTATCTATTTATAGCCTCTATTATTACTGAGATAAAAAAACGCTCCATAGATGTATAATTAGAGCAAGGGGACAGATTTTACTTTACTGTTTATAATCCAGCTGTAATTATGTTTTTACCACCCACATTCCTAAAGGACTAAACCCGAGTCTCATAACAACAACTATCTATGTTAGGACGACACAAAGCTCAACAAATACTGTGAAGCTTTCTGTGTTGGCTGCATTTACACACAAAATACACACAGCAACGGCGCACATATGGAAGACATGCAGCAAAAAGCTGACTGTCACTGGTTTTGAACAAATGGAAATATTTAAATCATATTTGAATATAATCTAGAGAAGTGTTTGGTGTGTAAATGCTGCGTTTGCAGTAAGCTAAACAGATGTAATGTTTTGCTGAGGAAGGTGAAGTGTGGCAGAAAACAATGGAGCACCAATAAGCCAACATGTCTTAATGTTTTTAAATGTGATATAGTTAAAGTAGGTTTTGTGGAAAAAGTATCAGCTTATGCATGAAAATGTTCAATCATGACTGTTTGTTACAAAGCATTGAATAAAGCTTTCATATGCACCACTGAAGAACTGATCTTTAAGACAGCACCAAGTTTATAACTAGTTTGAGGGACAGCGTTGGCCTTGAAAGCCAATTTCCATACAGTCAGCTACTGTTGTTCTCAGCTGCAGGCCGAGAAAAATAATATTCTCCCTCTGGCTTCAGGATGCTTGTCATGATAAGAGAGGCTCTGGTACAAGGGAGTTAGGCTGGTCTAGGTGTGTATTGTGAGAAACAGACTAGTGAGTTTACACAGTGTATCTCTAAAAAGATGACATGACTTAGAATGCTTCAGACTGCTTCCGAACATTTTGGAGGGACAGAGGTAGTTTTTTGTCCAGTCTAATGGATATTTGCATTTCCGAAATAATGTCATTAATTGATTCTCTAACTCCTGTGAATTCTTCTCTTACTTTCAACCAAATGAATCCTGGGGAGGTGATGTAGGAGCAGAACCTCCTGATATTTCCCCTTAAAAGTTTAAAATGGCCTTAGCCGTCATTAGGCGCTACATTCACTAATATGATAAGCTAATATGCAAATGATACCAATAGTAGCTATCATCAACCAAAATGTCACCATTTATTGTATTGAAATTGGCTAATACTAGCTAATAAGCTATATGAATCATAATAATGTGCTAATTGTAGCAAGAATGCCAACACAAACCAATGAATACAGCTAGCATTAACTAATATGCAAAGCCTTATATTGTAATTGGCTGATGTTAGCTTATAAGCTATATCTTTCTTTTAATCTAAAACAAAGTCACTTAGCATGTTAGCTAACAATGAGAAGATAAGCAGCCATAATACTGAGGTTAGCTTGGTTAGTTGGGTGTTCATATTGAGCCATTTGCATCAATTGATAGATATGTATAATGTAGAGTCTTTTATTTTGTAGAGACCCCGGAGTCTTCATTTGAAAGTCTAGCAGGGTTATGTGTTAAGTAAAGAGTCAGAATATCGATATAAAGAGTACGTTTTTTGGCGACAATAATAACAATAGGTGCCTCCATGCATTGCTAGGGCAGGCCCCAATAATACATAAACATAGATATAAAGAGTGTTTTTTGGCAACAATAGAAGGCATTCTATGCTCCTTGCATTTCTATGGAAGACACCAATAATAAATAAACATAGATATAAAGAGTCTTTTTTTTTGTGACAATAATAATAGGTGCCTCCATGCATTGCACGGAGCATAGAATGCATTGCTATGGCAGACACCAATAACAGTTAACAGTTTTAGCCTATGAAAAGCTCTATATATCTGCACTACTCCAAAATCCAATCAAAAAATTTTTGCTTTTTCAAAGAAACAGATGTCTGTACAGTAAGTCTTTGAATCTGTCATATCATCTGCAGGTAGCACAATGTGCTAACTGTATTCTATCATGTATCAGCCTTTTAAAGATTCACATACTCTCACTAGCATTTCCCTAAAAAAAGAACATTTAAAATTAGTGTTGCGCCGATGCCATTTTTTGGCCCCGATAACGATACCCGATACCTTGCTGTGCAGTATCGGCCGATACCATAATAATGTAAAATAATTGCCATCATGGCTTTGTCAAGCTTCTGCCTATCTTTGTTAAGCGGGAAAAAATCTAATACAAAGTGAATCCAGTAGAACTTTTTATTGCCTACCAGGAGTGGGTGACAGTAGTTGAATAAACTTATGGCTCTCAAAATGGTATCGGTGCCCTATTGGTTGGTACTCGCCGATACCGATACCACCATTTTAGGGCAGTATCGGGGCCCCGTCCGATACTGGTATCGGTGCAACACTATTTAAAATCAAACAGTTGAAAAAAAATATATATATTTTTTCAACTGAATCATTTCTTATTAATTTCTGTATCGGCCCTCAGCTTTGTTTTTAACATTTAATAAGATACTAGTTTATTACACTTAGTTTATGCTGAATCATTCAGAGTAGCACTTAGTGGGCAACAAAAAAGAAAGTGGTGGTAAAATGTTTACTATACTTCGATACAAAATATAAAACCTTGTACCGTTTCTTTTTTACTTTCAACATTCAATCAATCACTGCTCCATGTTTCTATTAGACATTTACATTAAATGACAACTAGTCCTTCAACAGTGGGCCTAATACAGAAAATAAAAACCTATGGGTTTACTTGGTTCGATATTAATTGTAATTTAAAAATCCATTCAACGTAAGCCCCAAACTGCTTTAGCAAGAAATAAATGTTTTAGTGGAAAGCCTCTGTGTCACTTCCTAATAACATTTCCCAGAGAGCTAATCATTTCCCTCGGCAAACTGCCAAATGAAATCAATCTAGCCACAAAGCAAACTCTTCTTCTTCAGTCTTCTGCTTGATTCAATTTGTGCTCATTAACAAAGATCCATTTTACTTTTTGTGGTGTTAATCTCCATCTTAATATCCTTCCGGATTTAAAAGTGTTTAAACCTCATGAAAACAGCTTCCCCCTGCCAGTTTCCTCGGACATCAAGTCGTCCAGAAAGGTCATCAAACAGAACTAAGAATTGGATCTACGTCAGACATGTTCTGGTAATGTGCTTACGTTGGCCCCAGCGGCCTGTGCGAGGGTTCAAATAGTTTGGGTAGAGCCCGTTGGGTCGGTCCATCTTTGCTAGCAGCTTCCGGATGTGCATCACCTGAAACAAAGAAGGCAGAAGAGTTTTAAACTGCAATAAAATACAGATATAAGACATTAACTGAACTAATGGGGAGCTCTGTCAGAATTAGCAGACTTTAGTGGTTTCAAGTCTCTGAACCTTCATTAATATTCCTTAGGATGAGCTGCAGCTTCCCCATGTTTTTGATTACATTAACAATGCAGCAGTCCAGTCTGGCATCAGAACAAGTTAGGAAGGAGATGCTCAAGGTTTCTTAGGTGGTAACAGGAGGTCTTGAAAAGTTCTTAGATGTCTTTTGTTGTTAGGATAATTATCATTGAAGATGTTTGAGTTTATTACACCTTGGTTTTGGCTGCCTGTTGCGTCAGAACTGATGTTTTAATCTAATTAAGACGGTTCCTGTATTTGGACATACAGTTATAATCTTCATTCTGAACGTGGAAAAGATTTGGAAATGGAATAAGAGCGGTGTCCTTCACTAAGAACGAAGTGTAATATTTTAATAAGGCTGGAGCCTTGGATGTCTAATCATCTGCTTACGTGTTTGATGCAATTATGTGATGATGTGGCAGACTGGAGATGTATAAAATGCCTTTTTAACTGTTAATCAGGGCCACTTCCTGAGAGGTGAGCAGCTGCCTGATGTACATTCTAAGCAATTTCTCTGATCTGAGTAAGATTATAATTTCTATCAGATTCTGTTGTCATGTCTCCTGGTTATTTAATATAAGTTATGAAGTGTTATTTAAAGAGTTTGTCCCGAGTGATCTCTTTTCAGGGAAAAGAACCGGAGAGATGGAGCATCAAGGTGCAGACACAGAGCCTAGCTTTAACATGTACCTCAAAGTTAATGTGATGTTTATCTATTTATTATCTTATATTAAAATTAAATTCAGATACAATCTCATTTTCAAGAAAGAGCCTGTTTTAAAAGACATACAACATGTTAAAAACACACTACAGTCATAACTCCTTAAATGACCAATTGACAGAACAAACAATTAGGTAAAAGTCAGTAGAAATGTTTTCGTCTCTTCAGTTCATTTAACCTTTTTAGCTTCAGGTCCTGCTATAAAGCAGTTATCAAAATAAAACTGCCAATGATTTGCAGTTTAGTCATCAGTAGCCTCTGAATGAATGTTCTATACCCTTCTACTCTCTCCTCACCTAAACGACACACTGAGGAGATGCAGTGAAACACCTGATTCTACATTGAAATACACAGTCATTTTAAACATATCAGGGAACAGCGGTACCTTCTGGTAGTAAACAGGGTTTCCTGTCAGGTAGGTGAGATGAACAAACTCCATGTGGAGCGTCCCAAATTCAGCCAGGATGCTGCTTCCTGCCGACGCCCAACCCCAGTTACGCCCAACACCACTGGAGAGGAAGAAAAGGATATGTTAGGATTCTGGTAAATAGAACTTTTTGCTGGATTTTGATCTTATTTTTTAAGTTTAAACAGATGTGTGTATGATTTTGAGATCTACTGTGTATATATATATATATATATATATATATATATATATATATATATATATATATATATATATATATATATATATATATATATATACTGGGTATAGTGGAGGATGTTCTTTTTCTGGGTGGATCATTAAATTAGATGGTCCTCCTATGTTCTATGTCCTTATCTTTTTTTTTTTTTTTCCACAAGTGGAGAGGGCGGGTCTTTTTTAAAAATTCGAGAAAATTTTCCACTATACCTTCAAGTTTATCTTCTCCAGAAAATGTCTAAATAATAATATATTGAAAAACAATCTGTATTATAGAAGAAAATCTGTGCAATCCATTTCTTTATGTCTTTTCTGCTGTAGAAGAATCTTTCCGTGAAGAAAACTTTCCACCTTCCTCAGTGCTTGTGTGTATGAAGTGAATTTTGTTCCATTATTGTTGCAAGTAAAAAAGACACTTTTTAAATTTTAGTTAGAAAAAAAGTTATCCAAGATAAAGACATTTAAAAAAAAAAAATTATTTGAGAGTAACTGTCATTTTTCCTGATTGCTTTTTTTTGTTACATTTTTACATTTTACAAGTTAGATTCTTTAAATATTTTTTTCTTCAAATGTGTTTTTAGAGATTTTTTCCCCCTTTTTTCAGATAGAACTCTAATCCTTCACATATAATTTTACAAAACAAATTCTCTTTGCTTCTGAGGTGGTGAGCTTTCATCCGATGTGAGAACTGAAAGCTTTTTTCTACACTGTGTGCAAAATTATTAGACAAATGAGTATTTCGACCACATCATCCCTTTCATACATGTTTTCCTACTCTAAGCTGTATAGGCCTGAAAACCAACTATCAATTAAGTAAATCAGGTGGCGTGCATCTCTGTAAATAGAAGGGGTGTGGCCTAATGACATCAACACCCTATATAAGGTTTATTTAATTATTAGGCAACTTCCTTTCCTTTGACAAAATGGGTCAGAAAAGAGATTTGACAGACTCTGAAAAGTCAAAAATTGTCAGATGTCTTTCAGAGGGGTGCAGCAGTTTGGAAATTTCCAAGCTTTTGAAGTGGGATCATTGCACAATCAAGCAGTTCATGGCAAATAGCCAACAGGGGCGCAAGAAGGGTGTTGAAAAAAGAAGATGCAAAATAACTCCCCATGAATTGAGAAGGATCAAGCGTGAATCTAACAGGGAGCCATTAGCCACCAGTTGTGCCATATTTCAGAGCTGCAACATGTCTGGAGTGCAGAGAAGCACAAGGTGCTCAATACTCAGGGACCTGGCCAAGGTAAGGACAGCCTTTGAACAAGACACACAAGACAAAACGTCAAGATTGGGCCAAGAAATATCTGAAGACTGATTTCTCCTAGGTGTTTTGGTCTGATGAAATGAGAGTGAGCCTTGATGGGCCAGATGGATGGATGGGCATGAGGCTGGATCAATAAAGGGCAGCAACTTCCTTATTGACTCAGACGCCAGCAAGGTGGAGGTGGGGTGCTGGTATGGGCTGGTATCATCAAAGATGAGCTTGTGGGAGTTTTTCGGGTTGATGATAGAGTCAAGATCAACTCCCAGACCTACTGCCAGTTTGTGGAAGACACCTGCTTCAAACAGTGGTACAAGAAGAAGTCCCCATCATTCAAGAAAAACATGATATTCATGCAGGAAAAAATGCTCCATCACACGCATCAAAAATACACCACAGCGTGGCTGGCCAGAAAAAGTCCAAAAGGGGAAAAAATAATGACATGACCCCCTTGTTCACCTGCTCTGAACCCCATGGAGAACCTGCGGTCCTTCATGAAATGTGAGATCTACAGGAAGGGAAAACAGTCCACCTCTCTGAACAGTGTCTGGGAGGCTGTGGTGGCTGCTGCACGCAATGTGGATCACAAACAGATCAAGACACTGACAGAATCTATGGATGGAAGGCTTTTGAGCGTCATGGTGAAGAAAGGTAGCTATATTGGTTACTGATCGTAAATGTTTATTTTTTAATTTCGAGTTGTTATATTGGTTTACCTGGTCAAGATGGGTATATATCTGTTTTTTATTACGCTGCCTAATAATTCTGCACAGTAATATTTACCTGAACACAGAGATATCCTCATGAAGTGGTCCAAAAAAAAAAAAAAAAAAAACACATCATCTTCCAAAAATATGAAACTTTGATATTAAGGAGTCTTTTGGGTTGATTGAGAACACAATTGGGGCCCAATAATAAAAATAATCCTCAAAAATACAACTTGCCAAATAATTCTGCACAGTGTGTATTGGTCTGCATGGATGTTAGCCTCATGTGTGCATCAGATGCTAATGTTTGTATCTAGAAAATGTGAACAGTGAAACTCAAATTATAAGAATGCAATTTGTAAAACTCAGTCTTAAAAAAGTAAAAACAGAAGAGAAACAATTTATTGATTTAAAAACAACAATGCAACAATAATGGAACAGAATTCACTCCATATGTGCGTAAAACTATTTTTTGTTGAATTCTTTACATCATTTTCAGCCTGTAGCTCCAAGTCCTGTATTTTTACCATTATCTGCTATTAGCGCTGCCTCTCTGACTGAGCATCATCTCAAGGAAAACAAATCCCTTCTCCTGCACTACAGAAGCTTGGTGCTTGGCAACAAACCATCCATTAGCTCTTTGAAGCCTTTTTTAATGTCACAGCTCAGTATAATGCTAAATGTGATGTTATTACACACAGATATTACAATTAAATGCAAATACTTATGTGCCAAATGTTTGCTGGAATGAGAAAGACATAGAAGCAGCATAAAGAAGCAAGAAGAGCAGAACCAGTGAACCTGTGTTTCATTTTGCTCTTGATCCGGTGATGCTGTGCTGGAAGGTTGAACTAAGGTTTCATAAAGTACAATTTAACACTTTTCTGCAGCCTCTTAAAGAACACAAAGCCACTCTCTGGTATTAACAACCGCTTGTTTGAGGTGAGTATTTGTGCCCTTTGAGTAAAGTTTGCAGTTACCCACGCAGCCAGGTGAAGAGGTCTAATCAGGGAAAGCGAGCGATAAAACGCCTGTGTGGGCGGAGCGTGGATGTGCTGAAGCTTTTAGAACAGTGACTGGATAATTGCACATTACTCTAAGCGTAACTTTGCAGTCAAACACATTTTAGATCTGGATGTGAGTTCAAACAGGCATCAATTTTACAAATCTATAACCTTCATTTATTAATAAATATGGAGGTGAATAGCTGTGGTCAGAGCTGCGAAGCAGAAATACTGGTCTACTTTTTAAATCCCTGATTTGAACAGAAAAGTTTAATTGGAAAACAAGTACAAAAGTAAAAAATAAGAGCCATTAAAATGATTTTGTGATGTTCTAGTTTATAAAGCATTTTAAGCAGGTAGAAGAAATGATCACATAGCATGAATAGCTTAGCATTTCAATGATAAGCTCTAACTTGGCTGCCTCTGGGGTAAATCATCCAGAAATGTCTTTCTAAAAGAAAGAGACCAGGCTTTGTATGCAACTCTTTGAGCAGCTAAGATGACACAGAGGACCAAATGATTATAAAGTGGAAAAAATAACTAAATTTACATTTCTGTTAAGCTAAAAACAGTGATGATGCTGGTATTACGGACCTTTTAAGGTTGACCATGGCCCAGGGGATCCCGGTTGGGGTGTTGAAGGCAGGAATGAGCTTCTCAGCCAGCTGGACCGCCTTAACTTTGAACATCTGGAGAAACACAGAGGGGAAGGTAGAGATAGTTACAGTTTGTTCATCAGGATATTTTTGAAAAATTTAATGGATGTTTCAGGAAAACTAGTTGCTTAAGTATGATTATATAAACATATCATTCCTAGAATATATGAGCGGTTTGACTCAGCTTTCATTAAAAGCTTTAAGATCAGACTGTAGTGACTGAGCAAATTAAGATAAAGGACCTGTCAAATTTAGATTAGTGCCCCTTTTGAGCTTACAGGACCTTTTACTCGTATACCACAGAGGAAGTACATCTGCTGCTTGCCAATCTGCTGATATCTCATCTCCCTAAAACATTCTGGATCAGTTCTCACTGCTTAGATGCACAGAAAGCAAACAGTGATCAGGCTGAATCAGTCAAACACACATTGGTTCCGTTTTATCTAAAAGGAACAAAAATGTGGTCTTTGATAGAGGAAGCTTTAAATCCAGCGGAGGATAAAGGCAATTAAACATTAATGGATAAAACTGTTAGGTTTCCTACAATTTCCTGAATGAAAAAAATAATAATAAATTAAAAACTAATGAGTTTTAGGGTCTGATGCTTACCTACATACAAAAAAAAAATATCTTTACTATTAATATCAGATTAGGAGAAAAATTGGCTGGTCCCGCTCTGTCTGATCGATTGGTGCATCTTTAACCTTAATTTCATCTTAAATTTAAGGTTAAACATTATATCTATGTTACATTTGTTACAATGATCTCCATGAACAGAAATCTATATTGCTTAAAGTGCATTTAATCATTAAATGCTTAAACTACTGACATAAACTATTCCTGTTATTTCCCAAATAGCACAATACTTAAAGTCTTCTGGAAATTACAGGGAGGACCTGGAGGTCAAACTAGAATTAAATAGACCAAAATTGAAATGGTTGGATTAAAGTACAAACAGCATTTTGGAGTTTTTTAAACATTTTATATATGAATCAACAACGACCTCCGGGCTTTCTGAATCATGCTAATATTCTAACCTTCTAGGTTTATAAAAATAAATATAAAATGTTTTTCCACTCAGAATTACTGCAGATTTTCCATCAGAAAGTAGCAGCCAGGTTTGCTCTGGCATTTCCAACTTTAAAAGCAAAGACTGCAACAGGCTGAACCACATTCAATCAGAGCAAAGTATAGATGATCAACTACATCAAACAAAGACATGTTTGTCTAATGCCAATCCGAGCATTTCAGCACTAAAAATTCAAACTACCAACCATGGAGAGGTCATAATTTGGGTTCATTCTTTCTGTTACAGATCTGGCTACTAATAAGGCCTCAAACTGGCCAATCCGATACCTATACATACGCTCAGGTATCTGCCGATACCGGATACCAATTCAACTGCTCCTGAATGCAGACAAAACAGAAGTTATAGTCTATGGACCAGAATATTTAAAAAATAGTCAGTCACTTCATTTGATTGGGATTAAATTGATCTCAGATAATAAAGTAAAAACTTTTGCTCATATTTTTGATCAGGATCTGTTATTTAAATCCCACATCAAAGAGATTTCTAGAATTTCCTTCTTTCATCTGAGGAATATTGCAAAAATTAGAAATCTCCTCACCAGGGGTGATGCTGAGAAACTAGTCCATGCATTTGTTACTTCAAGGCTGGACTATTGTAATTCTTTACAATCAGGAAGTCCACAAACTGTAGCTAAAAGCCTCCAGCTGATCCAAAATGCTGCAGCCAAAGTTCTGATGAAAATGAAAAAGAGAGATCACATCTCTCCTATCCTGGCTTCTCTTCATTGGCTTCCTGTTAAATCCAGAATAGAATTTAAAATCCTCCTTCTCACATATAAAGCCTTAAATGGCCAAGCTCCATCTTATATCAGAGATCTGATTGTTCCTCATGTTCCTAACAGAGCACTTCGCTCTCAATCTGCAGGTTTACTAGTGGTTCCTAGAATTTCTAAAAGTAGAATGGGAGGCAGATCTTTTAGTTATCAGGCTCCTCTCCTGTGGAACCAACTACCAGTTTTAGTCCGTGAGGCAGACACCCTGTCTACTTTTAAGGCTAGGCTTAAAAGATGGCCGCTCACATTGAGCCTGGTTCTGCTGGAGGTTTCTTCCTGTTAATACAAAGTTTTTCCTCTCCACTGTCACTACATGCATGCTTAGTGTGAGGGATTGCCTTCAAGTTAATGAGTCGATGCAATCAACTGGTTTTTCATGGATAGATATATTTGAATCAATCTGAATGTATCTTCCCATGCGACTGAAGGCTATAGCCTGAATATATACACTATAAAAATGGTAACAAATTATCACAGATATTAATTTACTTTATATTATTAACAAATAAGCAGCAAGAAATAAATAACAGTTCTATAACAATACCAATCTAATACTACTGTTGAATGAATTAATCGTACACCTTGCCATGCGAGTACAGGCATTATGCTTTACATAAACATTAAAAAAAAGTTAAATTAGAACAGATATAAATCATGAGTAGCTGTTGTGTGTGCTCTTAGTGATGACGTAATCATTGTTGCAATCATAAAAATTAAAGTCACTATATCGCTGTAACTGCATTGCTGTGTAAGCTATCAACAAAAAAAGAGAAATTACTGGATTGAGATGCTGCATCAGCATCATTCACCCAATATCTGATCCAGATAACTAGTTAATATTCACACTAAATCTCAACTTTTCTTTATTATTTCCACGTTTATATGTGCTAATTGGCATAGCTGCAGTAGGCTACTTCCTGGTTCACCCCCACATACGTGCGCAATATCATCCCTTCATTTTTATTGTAAATATACATTAATGCCTTTCTTTGCCAACAAATTAAGCAACATTCCCCAGCAGGACTCTGTAATCTTTCAGAATGATTTTATATAATACCAGAGTGAGCAACTGGCATATAGTATATATCTTTTTTTAAGTCAAATAATGTGATTATATACCTTTAACGCTGTGCTCACTTCTCTAAAAGGTTCAAACGTTCAGAGAGATAGCATCACCGTATACATGTGCTGACTCCTGATGTGTGCTCATCTTCTTCATCATCATAAAACCCTTCATCTTTCCATGACCTCCTGCTTGGCTGTATCAAAGCCCTTAAAGTTTTATTGGCAGCGCTGCTGCTGGTACCATCAAGCAAAAACGACGTTCCAGCGAGCCATCGGAGTCGTCTGCCAGCCGCCTTCACAGATAAAACTGGATGGTTTATGATAATCTTCCTCCTGAGGTGATTTCCTCCAGACTCTGGCAGGAAAACAACAAGAGGCCAGCAGGGAAATGCAATAAACAAGGGAATGGAAGCGTAAAACAGGTATAGAGGGATTTGTTTAATTAGTGTCAGTGTATTCTCCTCATCTTGTTTACAATATGGGGGATTACAGTTAAAAACAGGATGGTGGTATATTTTCCTCCAAATGTTGGTACTTTTTATGTAACTTTAAGACTAAGCAAGTTGGCTTTTAACTGAATTAAGAAAATCAAACAACAAGGAGCAGGAAGATGCTTAGGATCAGATGTTTATTTTCTGTCAAATAATATATTCTGGTCTTCTAACAAATTATTAAGCAGAAATAATGAAAAAGCCTTGAGGCTGGGAGGAGAGTCGCACATCCTCATTCTGCAATCCTTATAATAGATGAATGTTATTCACGCTGAAAATCTGTTCTACCCCAACATTAACCACCCAGTCGTGAAATGTAACACAGCTACACCGTCAACAAAAACAAAAACGCTGTAGTCCTCTTTCTCCTTGACACGTCTAATCACTGCAGCAGAATCCCCTGAAGGTGTTTGTCCTGTTGACATCATATTTACCGCGGCGTGGAGACCAGATCGGGACATTAGGAGTCGGGAGATAAAAACCTTTGGGGAGGACAAGCCCAGGCAGGTCTTTGTCATTTCCTAACTTGCTCCAATCACTCTCTCCCCTCCGGGCCTGACAGTTTGACTGTCCGGCCTTTTTAAATGCATTACCGCGCTCCTAAAAATCGATCACTCTGGGATGTATTCGGAGGCACACACAGACGCATATAGATTTTAAACACACAAGCAGGAAATGGGAGAAGACTGGGCAACAATTCTTATTGGATCACAAATAAAGTACTTTAAAACAATCTGCTTAATTTGTTCTCACAGATAAAGATATGAAGTGCCGTATTTTTTGCAGTTTTAAAACCAATTTATTATCAATACTTTTTCGATTAATTATGTGAAAAGCATATTCAGTCCCGCTGTAGGTTTCAAAGCACAGAAAACAGGATTTGACTAGGACGCTCTCAAACATCTTATTATCTGTAATTCTAGTCCACTCAGATGCAGCGACGTGCTTCAGATAATCGTCCTGCTGCATTAAGCAAATGGGCTGAAGCTTGATGAGTGAATTCAAATTTTTAATGTTTTTTTTCATTCTTTAAAGGTACATAATTACATTATTTGACATTTTTTATAATCCAGTAAGTCACTCTGGTTGCATACAAAGATCTTCTCAAAGTTAATCACGTCCTGTTGGTGTATTGTTAGTTTTATGTTTTGTTGTTGCTTAATTTGTTAGTAAATTAAGTTGTTTGTGTATATATAGATATACAACAACAGAGGTAGAACACTGTGCATGAGTGCAGGAAGCAGCTAACGGCTGCCTGGGAATAAAGTATGAAGGCTGGTTTTCACAGTAGCAGGAGCTAAAGCTGCTGAGACGTTCAGTTGTGGCTGCAGGGTTGATGGACGGGAGAAAACGTCTCGGTCTCTATAGTCTAAAGGGCAAACGACATTAGAGATAGATTGATTGATTGATTGATTGGTTCTAACCGTGACGGTGTGTCCCAGTTAGAGTTTGTTATAAAAGGGGATTTTTCGTTCTCTTTGATGATTTATTAGGAGGCTCTTGCCTCCTAATAAATAAATAAATTGCTATAGATTGGTTTACTTAAAAGTACAGTAGAGGATTTTCGCACATTTTTTAAAAAGACCCGCCCTCTCCACTTTAAAAAAATGCACAA